TCCACTCACCTCAGCCTCCCAAAGGCGCGGGATCATAGGCTGAGCCACCGAGCCCGGCTTGTAAATATTATTAAATACTGTTTCACATCTATGGCCTCAGTTTCCTCCTCTGTAAAATGGGGGTAATCTTGCACATCTCCTGGGTTCCATGAGGACAGAAAGTGCAATGTATGTAAAGTGCCTGGCAGAGTGCCCACCACCCATTTGATGGCAGCTGCCGTGCCAGGCTAGGTGCCCAGGGCTGTATCTAGGAAGACTTCTTGCCTCATGTGCTTACAGAGGAGACTGGCCTGGGGGTCGGGACACCTAGGAATACTAGTACTGACTCTGCTTTGACCATGTGACCTTGGGCAGGGGCCACTGCCCCCGGCCTCAGCCTGACTATCTGTTCCATCTGCACGGTGCAGGCTGGTGTCTGCCCCACCCTCACTCTGGGACTTCTCAAGTGAATGCCCCGTCTGTGAGGTCACCTGGAAGGAGGTGAAGGAGAGTTCCGTGAACAGCTTGATGAAGCGCAGGGTTCCCCGGGCATGCTCATCCATCACGAAGGCAAAGATGACCTCATGGGTCCCCAACAGGGGGATGAGGGTCAGCGTGGACTTGGCAAGCCTGGGGGGCAGGGCATGGCGACCTCTGGAGTCAGCCTGATCTTTCTCATGGACCCTTCTTCCCTTTTTGTACCCTCCCCTCTTCCCACCAGATCCTGGCATCTGAATCTCAGATGCCCTCCTACCCCAAACACCTTGAGACAAGCTGCCTGGAGGGAAGAAGTAGAGGTCAAGGTCCCAGAAACTCAGGGGCTGCCCAGGGATGGGGTGAAGGCAAGGCTCAGGGATCCCAGGCCAGACCTGGGTGGGAGAAAAGGTAGCATAGGGCTCCCAGCTAAGCATCCTGGGATCTCGCTCTCTGCTAGGAAGAAGGGCCCAGGGTCCAGTAAAACCAGCTCAGCTACATCACCTGCACTTGATGTCCGTTTTGCACATGAGATTGGCCTTCAGTTTGGACACCACAATGCAGATGACCCGGACAAAAATGAGGAAGTTCACCTGCAGGGCAGACAGGTGGGTGGCTGGGGGCACCAGCCTAGGCCTACCATAGCTCCCACTCCCACTGTCCACACCACCACTCACCCCAATCGCAAAGAGAATGGGGAGCCGAATAATGAGCCAGTAGTTCATGTTGGAGTTCCTGGTCCAGCAGCTGTGAGGGAGAGGGGTGCCCACATGCATTTGGCTGGACTCACCGAGCCCCCAGTGCACAGTGCCAACACAGGGGCCACCAAGGCACAGGGCCATGTTGAGTGCCACATGCATAGTCAGGAACTATGCATACTGACCCCGCACTGACCCACAACACACACAGCCTCAAACAAGCTTTCCTGTTATGGAAGCACAGTCACATGTGTACCCAGAATCATACACACAATACCAGAGACATGTCACTCACTGATATCACAGACAAACCTGCAAGAGGGAACCACAGATCCCACAGACACAGCACCATTTGTCATCATACAACCCCGGGGCAGGGGAAGGGATAGGGGCAGGGGCAGGGGTTAGGAGGGGGCATTAGAGAGCTAAATTCACAGTTAAGCTCCTGGTTCCTCGGTTGACCCTCCCAACAGGTAGAGCCACACGCCCCAGGGGCCAAGGAATCCCATGGACTTTGAGTATGGGGACCTCAGCATACCCACCTCCTTGGAGCAGGACACTCACCCCTCATCCTCATAGAGGTACTTGACAATGCCCCAGGGGATAACAAACAGCAGAGGGACACCTAAGAGGAGAGAGCGAAAGACAAAGAGGGAAGGAGGCTGGCAGGCCAGAGTCACTGCCACGCACACCCAGAGTCCTCTTTCTACCTGAGGCCCCTCACACTTCCAGCCCCTCTCCTGGCCTGGCCCCAAACCACGTGTTCTAGGTTGGTCTGGGTGTCTGGAAGAACAGAGGCAGAAGGAACCCCACACTGACTCCCCGGACTCTTCCTTAGAGAGAGGTCCTCACTACTCTGCCCCCTTTCATGTGCCAGACACAATGTCAGGACTTTTCCTAGCATCCTGGAAGAGACACCAGGACACGGACACCCAAGTAGCAGAGGGATAGGGCCATGTGGAGGGGAGGGCAAGCTGGATGAGGTGGGGAACAGGCAAACTCTCTGATGCCCTACTCCTCCCTTGCTTCAGCCCACAAGCCCGTCTCAGGTGACTCCCTCAGATACTGGACATTCCTTCAGTCGTCTGTTCCTTACCCCTACACACCTGCAGGCGGCCTGGACAAAAGCCTGGAATAGAGACAGGAGCCCTGTCCTTGATACCAACAGGCCAAGTAACTGTCCACTTTCCACTCAGTTGGGACTTGACTGGTGTAGACCCCCTCTAAGCTGGCCCCCAATGATCCCCACCCCGGTGTTCATGCCCTTGTGTAGTCCACATTGTATCAAGACTATACAATATGCCTGTATTGGTTAGTATGACCCATAACATATAGCAGAAGTGATGGCATATCCTTTTGAGGTGAATTTATTAAAGGCATCGTGGCTTGTCTTGATCTCTCAATCTCTCTCTCTCTCTCTCATCTCTCTATCTCTCTTTCTCTGTCTCTGTCTCTCTCACCTCCCTCCATCCCTTCCCCCCCTTCTCTCTCTATATGTATATCATATCTATATATAGAAATCTCTCTCTCATTACTTGCTTTAGGGGAAATCAGTTGTCCTGTCCTGAAGGCACTCAGCCTAGAAAGAGGCTTCTGCAGCAAGAAATGGAGGCCCCCAGCCAACAGCCAGCAAGGAACTGAGGCTTCCTGCCAATAGCCTCATGAGTGAACTTGGAAGTAGATCCTCCATCCCCAGTTGTCTTGAGATGACAGCAACCCTATCACCTGGTCAACAGCTTGGCAGCATCTCTATCAGAGATCCTGAGCCAGAGGTACTCAGCTAAGCTGAATCCAGATTCCTGACCATAGAAACTGTGAAATGATAACTGTGAGGGTGTTTTAAGTTGCTAAGTTTGGGGACTATTTGTTATGCAGCAATAGATAACTAATACAACTGATTTCCAGTTCCTTGAGGGAAGAACCAAGGCCCCACTCATCTTCAGAACCTTGGTGACCAGCTCACCCTGAGAGTCCAATCTGTGTTGGCTGATTTAAAATGGGATTGTCTGCCCTCACGTGAGAGATGAGGAGCTGTATCAGGAGCTCAGAAGGACAAAGGAGGGACTAAAATCCAGGGCTGCAGTCCTGCACCGCTCCAACCACCCTTAATGGCTTTCTGCACTGTCTCTCCAAGCCTGTCTCCATTGGTGCCTCCCTCAGCGCTGGAGATGTGAGGGTCTGAGGTACATAAGGTATACCTACATAAGGAATGTGTGCATGTATGGTGGGTGGTCCATGCATGCGCACGTGTGACTTTGGGAGTCTCCCCCAGGAGCACATGTCCAGGGCAGCACCACTTCCTAGCCTTTCCTATCACTATAGTCAGGGTTGTCAGCATAACACTGTCCACTCAGCAGCAGCAACTGAGCTGCTCATGTCCCTGGATCTACTGTGCTGGATGATGCAGAAAGGGGTGGCAGAAGCAAAGAAGCTTGCAACCGACCAGCATTCTTCATAGCTCTCTCTCTTCGTTCATTTATGTTTACACAAACCAGCCCTCTCAGCATGGACAGTGCTTTAGTAACAGGTCTTCATGAGACTAGACAAGGAATGGGATGACCTCCAAAGGCCCCGGCACATGGCACAATGAGAATGGAATGGATGAATAAATGAATGAATGAATGATGAATGAATCAATACATCAATGAGGAGGGGGAAGCACTCTAGGCAAGAGCATGCCAGTCCCTGAACCACACACACACACACACACACACACACACACACACACACACACACACCTCCTTCTTGGGCATCTCCACCCCGCTGCTGTCCCTTCTCTCTGAGACCCCCTCCAGGATCGGGAAGCTCACTTGTGTTATCAGTCAGACCTGATGAGCTGCATTCATTGTCAGCATTTCCTTAACAAGCCCTTTGGAAAAAACACAGGCACAGCCTGCCACATGCAAACATTACACACTCCCCACTGGCTTCATCTTTCTCCCATTTAGAAAACCAGCAAGACAGGCTGGAGAAAAAAGGTTGAATTAAGATACACAGAACTGGTTTTGGGAAGGAATGATTCCCTCATCTGTCACTCGCCTTCCCTCCTGCACAGCCTTCTTATGGTGGGTTTTTAGGGGCACCCAACTGCCCATGGACTGCAGCAGAAGCCGCCATGCCTTTTGAGGGCTCCCTCCATCCATGTCAGAGTTCAGAGTCCTAATGTTAATTCTTCTACTTGCACATGAAGTGAAAAGTTGTTTTCTAAGCATCCCAGTTTGGGCAAGTCCTCCTGGCATCACAACCGAGCTCTCAGCTGTGAATCTCTCTGTCTCTCTTTGTTCCTCTGTCTCTGTCTCTTCTAACCCCAATTACTCAAGAAATCACATCCTGATGGAAGAAGGGTCTCCCTCAGGCCTTACCCTTAGGCTCCTCCAGGCCCTGAGCCTTGAGCTAGGATGTGGGGTGGTGGGATAAGGAATGGCACGATCTCCAAAGGCCCTAGCACGTGGCACAGGACCTGCCCCATAGAAGACCCTCTTAGTGAGAACAGCAAAGAACTGGCAGCCCCTCCCCCATCTCCCACTCAGAGACCTCCAGGGTGCTGTGTGTCCCCACCAACCCCCAACCAACCGCCCTGCTCCTCTGCCCACGTCACATTGTCCTTATGATTGTTCTTGCCCTAGGATTGCCATGGTAACAGGCACTAAGAGCACTGATGCTATTTCCTAGAATGGACAGACCTGTCCCTTGCCCTGAGGACAGCCTTCCCTGATCCCCCACCCCTAATGAGCTTCAGGGCTCTCCAGCTACTGGGACAGGAGGAAAAGCCTTGTGAGAGAGAAGGTCAAGGGAGGTGCTGGGTCCTGGGGGAGGAGGAAGAGGAGGCCATCTGTGCAGAGGCCCAAGTCTGATAGGCGAGGCCACAGGGTATGAAGAGATGGAGCCCAGGCCAGAGAACTGTGCATGATGAGTCGCGGGCCCAGTGGGAGTCAGAAGCCCTAAGTTCCAAGACCTTCTCTGCCTTTGAGGCCCTGTCCCTTTCTGGTACTTGGTGCCCTCAAGACACTGATCACATTAAAACTTCCTTAGAACACCTCTTCTCCGATGGGCTGTACAGAGTGGAGTGGTTGAGGAATGCCAGTAAAAAATGAATGAAGGACAGGGGACAGAGAGGCTGAGAAGACTAGAGAAAGCCCGGAACCATGAGGGCTGGGTACCTGAGGCAGCTTCCTGAAGAGGCAGCTGACGACCTGATGTGGGAAGGATGCTCCAAGAATATTCCTGCATGGAGGACAGCCTTATAAAGGCTCAGAGACAGAACCAGTATCAGGGGCAAAGGAGGCATTGAGGGAAGAGTCTGGCTGTGACTGGGATGGGAAGCCCCTGGAGGAGTGGAGGGCAGCAATGGTCAGAGCAGCCTGAAGTAGGCAAATGAAGGAAGGAGAGGAGTGAATGAATGAATGAGTGGCCAGTGGGGGTGGAGGAGGGGCATTGGTATGGAACGGGGAAATCAACAGATTTAACAACTGATTAGGGAGGGCCAGAGGGCAGGGCCTAGTCTCTGACTCCATTCAGGGTGGGTGACTGTGGGCCTTCTCAGAGAGGTCCGCAGCATCTGTTTTCCCAGTAAAAAGGGGGACCCCAGCCCCCTGCTCAATCCCAAGCCCTCATCGGAATCCCATGTGGCGAGAGGCAGAAGCACAACCAGAAATGTTCCAGCAAAAAAAAAGACACGATGGTTCTTGGCAAACTTTTTCGGCTAGAACATTTCCAGCTGGGCTCCAGGCACATCCGCGGTCCACACGTTCCTTGGCTGGCCTCTGGTCACCCTTCCTCACCCTACTTGGCTCTCCTCTGAGCCTTCCTCTTCATCATCACATGACAGAGCATCACCTCCCCATCCTCCATCCCTACCCTTTTGATCCCCTCCCCACCTTGAGGCCCAGAACTCACCATTTCCCTCAGGGCTTTGGGCTGCCTGAGTCCGGATATAGAGCTCTGTCCCCACATGGTCTTGGGAGTGGGATATTTGAGGACAGCGCTGTGACCTCCAATGGTGTGCATGACAGAGGTAGGGGGTGGTATTTGGCCAAATGGGAGTGGATGTTTCCATTAAGGCAGGAAAATCATGGAAAGGCTGGGGGAACATAACCCTCTGCAGTGCCTTAAAAACCCAGGGACGGGGGTTCTGTGCCCAAGAGGGCTACCCAGTGGGCTCTGCCCCTTGCCCAAATGTGTTTTCTGAGTACCACATTGGTAGAGGGGTCAAGGTCTCCCACCCCCATGCCACAGGTGCGGAGTGGGTGACAGTGGGCCTTACCCCAGCCTATGCTCACATACAGCCAGAAGACGCGTTGCTCAGAGAAGACCGAGAAGGCCAGCAGCGTGTACAGGTACACGCCTTCCACCAGGAGCCAGTAGTAATTGGCTGCCACACAGTACTGCATGAGCAGGAACACCAAGCGGCAGCCCAGAGAGTCCTGTGGATAGAGAAAGGGTCCTGTGGGGACAACAGCTCTGCCCTCCGCTTCCCCTGACACCTCTAGCCATCCTGCTCCAGCTTCTATCCTGCCATCTTCTGTCCTGAAATCTTCTGGCTAGGGCTAGTGCTAAGAACTTTATCTGCATTAGCTCATTGAATCCTCACTCTCCTGAGTGGAAGAAAATAATACTATGCCCAAGCAGGTGAGAAAACTGAGCCTCACAGAAGTTATTTTCCCAAAAATTATACATCTGGTAAATGACGGAGTTGGGATTCAAACCCAGGTCTGTCTCCAAAAACTATTCCTTTGCGTCAGGATGAGAACTCCTTAGGGTAGTAGCTCCTCTTTTGGACCAGGTCCTCTCCAGGTAGACCACTTCTTTCATCAGACTGGGGTCTCCCCAAAGTGGACTGCCTCTCTCATCAGACTGGAAGGCCACCAGAGCGGACTGCCTCTCCCAGCAGACTGGAAGGTCACCATGGGGCACTGCCCCTCCTATCAAATTGGGGAACTTCAAGGTAGACTGCCTCTCCCATCAGACTAGAAGGTCACCATGGTGGACTGCCTCTCCCATCAAACTCACCATGCCTCCTCCATCAAACTGGAAGCTCACCATGGAGGACTGCCTCTCCCATCAGACTGGAAGGTCACCATGGGGTACTGCTTCCCCTATCAAACTGGGGGAATTTCAAGGTAGACTGCCTCTCCCATAAGACTAGGGGCTCTCAGAGGGCCAGGGCTGGGCAGCTCTTGCCTTCCCCTGTCCCAGGCCTGGATGGCATGGCAGAGGCAGGCCTTCTCTGACCACCCATCCTTTCCCAGGCACCTGGACACATCACATACCTGGTAGGAGAGGAGCCCATCCCACTGGTGCTGCTGGGCAGCTGTGCTGTACATCCACTTGAGGGCTGCGTCCTTGATGAAAACGGACAGTGCTCGCAGGATAAAGGATGCAAACAGGTTCAAGTGGATGAAGTTTCGGGTGCAGTGCAGGTGTCTGAGGGAGAAAGCAGGGCTCTTCCCTAGCAAGGTGGCCAAGAGTTCTGCTCCGCAATCCCCAGCTCTCACGCTAACTCATACACCAAACATGTTTCCAGCATGGGGACTGTGCTCACGTCTACCTCTGCAAATGCCTTTCTTCCCCATAACCTTGAAAATCCTTCCATCCACTTCAAATCCTGCCACTGCACGAAGCCTTCAGCTGCATAGTCACTCCTCCCTCCTCCAATACATCGTCTATCCTCTTCTCTGCAGGAGATGGAAGGATTTTCAAAAATAAATTCCACAGGGAAGAGCAAAGAACCATAGGGAAGAGAAAACTCTAAAGCTTTCAGAAGAATATATAGGTGACCATTTTTAATGAGCCTTGGATAAGGAAAGATTTTTTTAATAAAACCATAAAAAATGTGTTCTCTGAACAAAACTGATAATTTCAAATCATTGATGAAATTAATTTTCTATTGTATTTTATTATTTATTGTTAATGATTAAATTTCATTTAAATGTTAAATCCATTTATCAATTTTGTGTGGTAAGATTTATCAACAAAGTTAATAAATTTCATTCCATGAAAATGAAGAACTTCTGTGCATAAAAGTCACCATAAAGTGAGTGAAAAAATAAGCCATAGACTAAGAGACAGAATATCCTGGATTAGTATCTAGGATTTACAATGAATGCTTAAAATAAAAAATAAAAATAAAAATAAAACCATAAAAAAGTAAGCAAAGAATATGAACAAGCAACTCACAGACTAAATCATGAAAAATGCTTCCCTCTCTAGGAATCAAGGATATGCAAATTTAACTCATGAGATTTCACATATTCCAGATTAGCAACAATTAAATCTGAATATACTCAATATTGGTGATAATGTTCAACAAAGGAAACTCTCTTTTATTACTAATGAGAGGGCAAATTGGTATGACCACTCTGAAGCTCGACTTAGTAACACTTAGTACATTGGCAAAACCAGGTAGTATTCAGATCTGGCAATTCTGCCCGTAGGGATATGTCCCAGAGAAACACACAAGGGGTCCTAGGTAAGAATGCTCACTGTGCCAACATTTATAATTTAGAAAGAAAAAAGAAAACACCTCAAATGTTCATTAAAAGGAAAACAGATAAATTATGCTATATCATACAATGAAATGTAGAATGACAGTTAAAATTAATGAAATAGAATTACCTTTGTCAACGTGAATGAATCACACAGAAACATAATGCTGGACCAAAAAATTTGCAGAAATATATCGCTCTGATTTGAATGTTGTATCTCCCCAAAATTCATGTTTAAACTTAGTCCCTGATGCAATAGTAATGGGTGAAGGGCCACCACCAAGCCACAAGTAAAACCACATCCCCTCCCTTTCCTGGAAACAGAGACGCGGCAAACTAAAATGGCGATTGAAACAGTGCCTTCCTTTGTTCTCCCTCCGCACCCTTTCCCGTGCCCGCGAAAAATCCACCAACCTACATGAAGCTCTGCCAGCCGACCTATAGACGACAGACAGGTCACCCTAAGCCCCTATAAAGGCCATCACGCCTTTGCCTCGGGGCTAAGCCTGACCCTCAGGTCCTGTAGCCCACCACGTTCGACCCATTAAATCTCTTGTCCGTAATGGGTGTTGAGTCTCACTGTGTGCCACCGTCTTTCATTGTTGCCGTGACTCGGGTCGGGTTCCTCTCGCCCTCAGGAGAGACCCCGTTCTGGTGCCAGCGGGACTCACCCCTTAAGGCCTTTGCCCACTTTTTTGAACGCCAGCACTGCATTCATCACCGACCTTCGGATTGGTAAGTGTCCCCTAAACAGAAAACCTAAAACCTTGCCTGGGATAACCGGAGGGAACTGACCATTGATCGTCCAGCAGCCCCTTCGGCCCGGGCAAGGGGGGGACCACACCCCGCCTAGGTCTTTAAGGCCACAGCAGACCCCTACCAGTTTTCCCCTCCCTTGGCCATCAGGAATTTCGAGTCTACTCCCTCCTGCCATCCAGTTTTGGGTATCCTCCTCGTTAAAAGTCCTGGTACCAGGTTATGCTCAACCTCCTCGATTCTCCAGGAGAGTCGCGGGTTGTGATAACATCCTGTGAGGACAGGCTTTATTGCAACCTCCTCATATCCTAACGGCCGGCTATCCAGGGGAAGCCCTGCTCAGCCCCAGCTGTTAAAATGGGAAACTCATCATCCCTGCCGGCCGACTCTCCCCTCAAAGGTCTCTTAGACAACCTCTCCGCTCTCTCTCTCTCACTCCCGACATTAAACTCAAGCATCTAATCTGCTTCAGTACCCAAGGCTGGCCCACCTATCGCTTAGACAACCAAAATAAGTGGCCCCTATGGGTCCCTAAACCCCGACCTTATACGGGACCTCTATAACTTCTGTGAGCGTTCTAAAAAGTGGGCAGAGATTCCCCTCCCTCCCCCGTCCCGCTTACGCCGCCACCTCCCTCCTCTGTCTCTGACTTCAACCCAGCAGATAAACCTCCTCCCTATTGGCAACCCCATCTACCCCCACAGCTTCCTCTCCTGTCCACCTCTTCTCAAAGGTCTGCTCTTCCTCAACCCCCTCCTTATCCGACCTCCTGTGCCCAGACCTCTTCAACTCAGGCCTCTCTGGTATCTGCTCCTGCCTAACCTCCTGTCTCGCCCCTCCTATGTCCAGCTCTTCCCCCGACCCCGCCATCTCTAATTCCTTTGTCCTCAGCTCCAGTTGTTCCGGGCTCTCCTCCCCCATTCACTTCCTTCCCTGCTGCCACGGAAGCACCGCCTCCCTCCTCCGGTCCTGTTAACATCACACCTGACTCCTCTGTTTCCGGCCCAGCCATCCACAAGCTGTACCCTCCCCTTCCGCCGTCGCTGCCATCTTGGTCTGCTGCCTTATTGCAGGGATGGAAAAGGCGGCTCACACAAAGCCTAATAAAGACCCAGCCTCTTTCCTTCATCGTTTAACAAAACTCTTACCCTTCACACTCGTTTGGACCCTTCCTCACCACCGGGGTCCACAGTCTTAGCTACCCACTTTATCACCCAATCCACTCCGGACATCCGGCACAAGTTTAAAAAGGTGGAAGAGGGCCCCCAAACTCCACTCCGAGACCTGGTAAATATGGCCTTTAGAGTTTATAATGCTTTAAAGTTTATAATGCCCAAGAGGAAGAAGCCGAGGCCGTGCGGGCCCAGAGGCTAGAACAGAAAGTGACCCTTCAAACCCAAACCCTGGTTGCTGCCCTGTGGCCGGCTTAACAGGGACCTCAAAGCCCCCATCCCAGGAAACAGTCCGAG